CACTTTGGGACATTGGGACGTTGGGACGTTGGGACACAGCAAAAAAAGCTTGGGACAGTCCAAATGTACAACACTGGCCAGTAGTATCTAAAATTAATGTGCGAAAGAGGCGAAACGCATATTAAAAAATTTTTTGTATCTTAAAGATTAACAATATAAGTGCTTTGCGTATATAGCCTCTAAAATTATGGACGAAATACCGCATTAAAATTTTAAATTCATATATATTTCAAGCTTTAATGTGTTTATATTTATTAAAAAATCTATGTGAGCCGCAGTATTTAAGAATTCATATGTAATATGCTGCCTACCCACAGTTTGATACTGAATTTTAGACGCTGGTAGCCAGAATTTGTGTGTACCTTTAAAAGGCTGTGCAATTAGAGAGGGTTCACTATATAGTATATTAATGCTTTTAAGCTTATTATATCTGATTTATCCACATTTGAAGCTACATCTTCGATATTGTTACAGCGGTACTTAAATTATAGGACAATATTCACAGATATAAAATAGTTTATTTAGTAGTAAGGTAATACAAATAAGTTATACAGGTAATACAAATAGTACAAGTAATACGGTAATATAATTTATATTAAAAGAGGGAACACAGATATTAGATGGCCAATCCAATATCCAAGGAAAGATAGGAATTGTAGGAGAGATATCTGCAAGTACTAAGAGGGAAAACCTCCCTTTATATATCAGTAGAAATAGCATACACCGGCATACATCCAAGTGGTATACACTGGCATACACCATATGGCAGGTGGCATATACTGGCATACAACCATGTGGCAGGTGGCATACACTGGCATACAACCATATAGTAGGTGGCATATACTGGCATACAGTACAACCATATAGCAGGTGGTATATACTGGCATATAGCATACACTGGCATACAGCATACAGTGGCATACGGTACACATTGGCATACAGTATACAGTGGTATATAGCACACACTGGTATACAGCATACAGTGGTATATAGCACACACTGGCATACATTTCTAACTATTCTATTTTAATGAAATATATCTAAATAATATAATTTAACTAATGTAAAATATAAAAAATAAAATACAAAATATAATATATAATATGAAATAATATTCTACGATTAATTTGTACAACATTACAACTACTAGTATAACAAAACAATATTGAAAAGGGAATAATCCAAAAGGCTGTACTGTTTGATCTTGATAACATTTTGATCATAAGATCTTTAAAAGGTTTAAGGAATTCAATGATTTTCTTTAAAGCGGTCTACTGACTATGCGAAATAGCATATGATTAAAAATAATCATGAAAACTGGTAAGTGTATTTAATGCCTAAAGATTGTAGTTAGTATTTGCATTAATATTATATAAAATTAGGAATAAATAAATAATTTACCAACTTAAGAAATAACCCATTCTTGACCATATCGTAGATGGAGTTCCAGCGGGTAGGACAGTCCAATATGGGTTTAATAAATTTTATAAGGTATGCATTACAAGTGTTTCAAATAATTCCATACGTTAAAGCAATAAGCGAATGGCAAAGTTAAGTTTTCTGATCTTTTTATTTATTTATTTATTTGTTGGTTAAAAAATAAGATAATAACCTACTTTTATAAATCTATAATAATACCTTACTGACATCTTCCTTTATATGATCTAGTGCAGCCTGCGCTGCTAAATTTAGAATATGATTGAAACACCGAAATCGAAGGCGTTCGGAATCCCAACTAATGTTTGTATCTTTCCTTATTTTTATTGCCAATTCCCGCACAAAAACATTGTTATTGGTAGCATTATCTAGGGTAATAGCAAGAAACTAATAAAAAAAGGTCAGACTATTCTGAAAAGTAATAACGATCAAACATACCATGTGATCTTGAAATAATGCCCAGGGTATTATTTTGGGATGCACAATTTAAAGAGAGCTAAGAAATGATTTAACCAATGCAAACAATAATCATTACTTATTAAAAATCTTCGATTATATTAATTTTTGGTTTTTTTTCACTTAAATACGCCTTTATTGTATTCAGTTCTTTTTAAATTATGCATTTCAAAATAACACCACTGAACATTATTTTGAGACTATACAGTATAAAGAAAATACCTTAGATACAATATTATAATCTTCTAACACCTGATAGAATCCATTTGCAAGGTTTGTACTATCATGTTTTCCACTTAACAAGCCAAAATCAATAATAATTTCTTTAAGATTTCAGTCCTCATCAATGTAATGGCCTGTGAGAGAAATAAATAACTTATTATTAGGGGATGTCTATAGGTTTGATGTAAAGGATAATTTGGAACTAATATTGGAAAGGTATATCTAAATTCAAAATAAAAAAATATTATTATTTATTAATAATATAGATATTATAGCTTTTATTATAAACTTATAATTACATAACAATGTATAACTTTATTACATATATATAGCAACTATTTTGTAACTACAAAAACTTATAAAACACTTCACTGTTTATTGAATTCTTTATCTAAAATAATTTTGTGAAATTACCTTTATTTCATGTTTTTCTAAGCTATAAAGCGTCATAACTATTTGCTTAATTGCATCAGCCTTAATCAGTTGTGCAGTAGGGTTTAAGTATAATAAAATTTCAATTAATTTGGTGTCTTTCACTATAAAAAGTGGACGTTGGTGGTTGATGATCCATGTGACAACCATTTTGCGAAGTTTTATATTATCAACTTTAGTTGATACTATTGTAGAGGTATCTGGAGGGGCTATATAAAAAGTTTAATTAAAGACAGTCGAATCTTTTTATAACCAACTGATGGTTCTTATAGTAAAAAATTTTCATAGAATAATTTATTATATTACATACTGGACCCTATAATAAATTTTTTAAAAAAGTTTATTATAAAGTAAATTCGTTATAAAAAGTTTCATTACCAGGTTTGACTATAGTTTAAAATTTGAATAAAAAATAAAATATCACCTTTTTAAACACTTCATCAACACTGCTGTGTTCTTTTTGCACTTTTTTTTTGTTTTACGATATTCTTCTGTAAGAACATATTGCGCTCAATAAGCAGATTCTAGATATCACCATAAAGGCCGAGTCATATCAGTATTTCCACAAGAATACTCTTTATGGGTACAATTTTGTACGTCACATTTAGCCATTTTTTTTCCTTTGTCCACACAATTTTTTTAAAGTATTTCCATACTTCACTCTTTTTATTTCTACAACTTTGCTTACTAACAGTACTACTAGTATCATTATCATCATCGTAGCCATTATCATAGTTATAGCCATGGTTATCGTGGTGGTTGTAGCCTTGGTCATTGTCGTGGTCACCATCATAGTCATGATCATGGTCATGGTCTTGGTCATGGTCATGGTCGTAGTCTGATATAGATGTGAAACTTATTAAACTAATAAAAAATTTTTGCTTATTAGCTATATACTGATATAGAACAGTTACAGTATTATTAATATAAATATCTATTCATTTGACTAACCAAGCCCAGATAAGTTATTTGGTTTTTATTTACTTTATCTGTTATTTGCTTTATTTGTATAGCAGGTTCTCTTGTATCTTCTTTTATCAACTTTAAACAATTTTTTACTCAGCTTTACAAGTAATACTATGCCAGATACGTATGTACCTCCTTATTTTTTGAATTGAAAAGAACTTCAATAACCCTTTTATACTAAAATAATCAATAGATTATCATCACGTTATATTTAGCTAGCCAATTAAACTACTTTACATACAAATTTTGCTCACTTTATACGTATAGCTAATTTAAGATAGCATACAAACTCAAATACCAGTAAGCTATATATTATATAAATTTAAATATAAATCAAAAAATAACTTCATGAACTACTATATGTATAAATATTTAAATGATAAGAACTATATACAGTAAAACTTCCATAAGTGCAACTTCTCTAAGTGCTCAAATTTTCTCTAAGTGCACATTATAAAGTTTAGTCCCACTTATGAAGGCTTTACTGTATACTGCATAAAAGTTTAATGCTATATCAGATATAAAATTATTATATCTGAACCTGAACATGGTTATAAACTTGGGAAAAAGAAAGGGAGTTAGTGAGTTTGAGAGAGGAATTAGTGGTTAAAACTCAGGCAGAGGAGGAGTTGGTTAAGGAGTTGGGGCAATTGAAGGAGGAGAAAGGGGAGGTGGAAGTATGACAATGACATTTCACAAACAAAAAATATAATGATAAAAAGAAAAACTTAAAAACATTAGCCGAAAATAATTGAGATAAATACTTTGATAAACCTGAGAGATTGGCCGATTTAGAACTTGATTATACTTTGCCAAATTATACTTCTCTGAATACGGGTCGTCAAAAAGGCCAATAACTTTAAAACTATTTTTTCCATAACTTATTTAATTTTCTCATTTTTTCGAGATAAAACTGGTAGGGTTGTCATGCTTTATGTCACTGAGTTCAGGCTTAGGAAGTCAGTCAGCAATTCTTTTTTCGGCCTCGTCATACCATCCACTAATGAGAGGCCAGATAGTTTGAGCAAATTCTAGTAGATAAGCATCGCGTTTTCCTTGCTCTTTCAATTCAATAAGATAGTCAGTTCAAGGCTTTCAGAAATGCTCAAATTTTCTTTTTTTATTGAGAGCCAAGAAAAAGGTGAGAAAAGCCTCCTCCACTTCATGTTCTTTTAATGGAACTGAACCCAAACTAAACTTTTACTAAGTTTGGGTTCGATCTGAGTTCAGAAATTGTGAGTTTGTATTTGGTTCAAGTTCAAAAGCTAGCAAAATTATTGGTTTGGATTTAGGTTTGGGTTTGGGTTCTTCTGAACCGAACCGAACCCGGACCAAACCACAGAACACTATTTATACCAAGTCTGAGAACAAGTACTTGGGAGCTGAAGCCGCTACCATTACCTACTACTGCTCTTGTAGAGTTTATCCAAACCCCAGCACTCACTTTATAGACTCCTAATCCAGATAGCTCAGAAAGGCAGATCTCTTCCTCATAATACACTAATGGCTTGGTCGGTATGGTGCCTTGCCAAACACCTCGGTTCCGTCTAGTTTCCAGATCTTTAATAATAATCCTTTATATAGTGCCGTCAAAGATCTGTGCTACCTTTCTACTCAGGACTTGCTAAGCAGGATTTCATGTGTCCCAGCCCTTGGATTTACACAAATGCTTCACTTAAGTTTTGTATAACCTTTATATCATCTATAGTTCTACATTCTTCTAGTACAAGCTGGTATAACCAAAGCTACAGATAGTGTTCGAAAACGGATTAAAAATCCTAGTTAATCCGTGATTGATCCAAATCCGATCCGAATTCGTAATTCAGATTAAATCTGAGAGTGATCTGTGCCAATCCAATGGTTTGTCACATATATTTGTTATAATATAAGTGATAAATTTGAATATATTACGTGACAAATTCGAATTTATTACTTATATTGTGGCACAAGGTGTGATATATTCAAATTTATCATATGACAAATTCGAATTTATCACATAAGTGATTATATAAGACAAGACCTAAAATTAGGCCAAATCCTGCTTAATCTGAGTCCAATCTGATGTTTTAGAGACCAAACCTAATCCGATGGTTTGGATTCACACAAATCGGAATCTGATCCATGCTGACTTTTTCGAACACTAGCTACAGATCTAATAATCCATCAGATTATACACAGTCTGTCGTAACACATTCTGTAAAATTCAAATTTCGTCGCCAGTGGGATTTGAACTCTTGTTCTGCTATTTGGGAGTGCGACAACATACTAACTTCACTAAGTCACTACACCCTTATTAATTTATTTTATTAAATGTCTATATATATATATATTTTAAAATATGATGAGCCCAAAATTCATAGAAAGGTTAAGCGTTTTCAACTTTTTATAATACCTGTATTTGTATTCACAAACTTTAAATTTTAAGAATGTACTTTTTGACAAATAATGCTTTCTAGATCGCAAAGACTAGAGAATTTATTAATATTACAACTATTTGATAAGATCATATTAAATACTCAATTATCTTATGCACTTTACTTTGTACAGAATTTGCATGTATTGAAGAATGTGCTCAAAGAACAGCTTAAATAAAAACTTGGTCAGATATTTAATTAACTATTACTTTATTATTTTTATTATTATCTCATAATATATTATATATATTAATTTAAGAAATAATCTAATTGTCTCTAGTGGTGACAGTACTAGATTTTATTTAATAGGCGATTCTCTAGTCACCTGGTTTAAAATTTTTTTTTTTATATATAAATTTTACTATAAGTGTGAAAGTGCAGCGCCCCTATCTAAAACTTTTTTTTATTAAATAAATCACTCTTGGACATATAACAAAAGTTGTAGAGCTTATTAAACTGCATTTAATGATAAAAGAATATTAAAATTAGCCTAGTAGTTCTTGAAAAATCTTTAAAAAACTTATTTTTTATATATAAAATTTCTTTAAAAAAAATCAATTTTTTTAAAGAAATTTTATATGTGAAAAAGAAGTTTTTTAAAGATTTTTCAAGAACCACCAGGCCAATTTTAATATTTTTCTACTATTAAATGCAGTTTGATAAGCTCTAAACTTTTGTTATATGCCCAAGAGTGATTTACTTAATAAAAAAAAGTTTTAGATAAGGGCGCTGCACTTTTGCACTTATAGTAAAATTTATATATAAAAAAAAAATTTTAAACCAGGTGACTGGAGAATTGCCTATTAAAGCTATATTTAAAGTCAAAAAGGATCATAATATATAGTAAAATTATGTAAGGAATATTTTTTGTTAAGATGTAGAAGTTGGTTTCATAGGCATAATTTAGAGCTATTTTGATTTGAAATTTTTGAGATTTTGAATCATAAAATCTGATTGGTCTGGGTCTGTTACGCTAGAAATAAATAGATTTACCTTTAATTTAATATCTTAATTTTATTCATATCTCTTATTACTATATATATTTTTATTATAGAAATTGCTAATTAACACCTCAGATGATTATCACCTGTAGTAAAATTATCTTAAAATTTTGCTTATAAAACCACTTTTGAGGCTCTAAGTAAAAAAATTCCTTATGAAATTTTACTATCCCTTAAACCGTAGATTTTAGCAGACAAATTTGCCTGCTAAAAATAGTTAAAAAAATATTCCCATTACAAAAAAATTTTTTATAGAAATTTTCACGCAAATTGATCAGAGTAACTCCCAAGATGGTAGAGCACATGATGTGACTGTAGCCGTATTGTTTTTATGATCTTGTGACCTAAGCGAAAGTTATAAGATTGAGTCACACAAAATGAACCGTCCCGAAACTGTAAAATTATGTCATGTGACTCAAATTTTTGTGTCATCATGGCCAATTAGACCCCAACAAGCTTAATAAAAATTAATTTAACAGACTCGAACTACATATTCAGCAACTAAAATAAAGAGGCATTGTTAAGTATTCACGAAGTCAATTAGAGCAAATTTTTTTGTGCATTTTCGAGCAATCGATCTGAAAATTTTGGTCTGCAAGAAGAAAATAAAAAAATAAATAAATAATAAAATAAAATAAAATAAAATAAAAAAATAGAAAAATAGAAAAATAAAAAAATAAATAAAAAAAAGTAATAAAACGGTATGATAAAAAAAATTTTTTTTATTATTTGACAAACATGCTGCAATGAAAGTTTTATTTATTAAATCGTAGCACAATAATCAGTTTATGAGATCATAATAAAGTACATAAAATAAGCAGCGAAAATATTTAAAGGCACACTTTATTTTTCAGTATGGTATCCATTGAAACAATTTCGATAATTATTACAACATAGAGGCACATTACATGATATGCACTAAACCTGACTTTGATAAGGGGTTTTACAGTTCATTTTAATTTTTTTTATGCTTGCTAACCAAGCACACCACAGACACCTTGCACGTTCTTCCCTCCATTCTGCCAAGTGAAGTCCTGGCACCAGCTGTTGGTCTGAAAGTTCGAATTTTTTTGTAACTTTCGGCTGTTTCACTTTTGAACCTTTTTTTGTTTTTTTTTTTACTCTTAATTGAACCTCATCAGCGACGTTATTTGCAGATTCAATAAGGCCCCACACCAGCTCAAGCCGAAATTCCTTATGCCCTTGTTTAGATCCTAAAGTTTGAGCGATCAGATATGTGTTGATAATTGCTGTATCCAGCAACCAAAAAAAAAGCGGCATCCAATTTCGTCACGTTGTTTGTTGGGTGTTGTAATAGGATCGCAATTGATCAGCGACATCCACACCATTCATATTGTTGTTGTAATCATCAATTATTTTTGGGATTTTTAATGATTTTCTTGATTCTGATCCAAATACTGCATGTACCTTTTTTGCATTCGTACTAGTTTCACTCAGTCGACGCCTTATCTATTCAACTTCCCATTGTTCACCTACAAGTCCATGAATTGTTATCAGCATTGTTACTGGCCCATTATCCTGCCAGAAAGCAGCCAAGACACCATCTACAACAACTCCAGAGCGAACGTCCCAATCAAATTTAGCATTTTTCTCTACTTTTAGTTCTTTGAGAAACTCAGCAGCCGTTTTACGAACAGTACCGCAAGCTCCAACACAAATCTGCCAGAGATGCTGAAAAAGAGGCACACTGGTAAAGTAATTGTCCATGTAAATATTGTACAGAACTTGATGATATGGAAGCTGCTCTACTAGGTGAAGAACTAGACACCTAATTTGGTTTAGATTACTCACTTTTACTACGTCGCTTGGAGATACACGTGATGTCAGCAAGAAAGTGTAGGTGTATCCAGATTCACATAACGAGAAAATTTTAAAACCTTCAGGGATAGGCTTGTTCTTAATTCGGACTGTGTGAACACTTCTTTGGAAAACTGAATCATCATCTCATCCACTGAAATGTTTGTTCCTGGTACATAATATCGTTTGAAGCATCCCGGACACATGAAAGCAATGGCTCCACTTTGTCAAAATAATTTTTAGTTGTTGAGGAGGGGGAGGAAACGTGCAAAAACCTCTTTATTTGTTCAAAGCGTGTCAAAGACATTTTCTTTGAAATATGGTAGACGGGAAGTTTCTGATTTTCATTCCAGTACAAGTTGAGAGAAGGCACTTTAAAAAGTCCATGGTAGATAATAAGAGCTATCCAGATAACAAGCTCTTTATGGTTTACATCCAGCCAACTCCTACCAGAGACACCAGCATCTTTTGATGATGCATATAAATTCGTATTAACGACCATTATTTCCAACATTGTGTTCGTAAAAAAAAAAAAAAAAAAATCAATCGCTTTGGAGACAGTGACATCAAAGTGCAGCGGCAATCTAACATTTGCCCTGTACAAACTTTGGTGAACAAGCGGTT